TTAAAGAAATGTCAGTTAAGTGGTAGTTCAAAAAATCCAGAAAACAAACCACTGCTAATTTCCTTCAGTGGATATCAGAGCTCATTTAAATAAGCTCATTTGAGGTAGCCATGGAATGAGGTTTAGAAAAGTATCACAAGATGCATTTTGCTTCATTCAATGCCATGTGCTAGAAGATTTAGAGATTGAGATTCGATACAGCAATCTGTGATAAATTAAAGGGTACACACGGAAACAAAGTTTATTATCTATTGTAACTATCTTAGAATGCAGCTAATTGTAATATTATGTAAGACATTAGATTTAAATTATTTAAGTATAAAAAAGAAATATGAAATTAGTAACTAACTGCTTAATTATAGACCCTTTAAAAATAAATTGCTTGTGAGGTTGTTTTGATGTTGAAATGTGTAAAAAAATACACTTATGGTAGAAAATGAGGTTATGTTTTGCACCAAAAATAACCTTAGCCATAAACCTCATATATAGATCAGCAATATTTTTAGTTGAAATCAGATGAAATCATTCACTTCTCAAACGTACTTATTTTCTTGAGGAGCAGAAAAAGTAACAAGTATACCGCAAAACAACATCTCTAAGTTAGTTGCTTCGAGGTAGATTTTTATTAACCTCAAAATAACCTCCAGTGTTAATAAGAGAACGTCATATACCTTGGGAGGTAGATTAATTAAAGCTGTTTTTGAGGTCAACTTCAAATAAACCTTGAATCAACCTTAACACTTCATAACAACCTTAAGTAAAACTTAATAACACCTTACACTTTAAGGGAATATGATTATTTTAAAATTGTATTTAATCTCAATTTTGCGCATGGAACAAAAACGTTAAAACTAAAAATGAAAATAATTTAGCAAAAAAATTACAAATTTGTTCAAAACAATGACGCGTATTCACTTGATTTCATAATTTTCCTTATAAAAAGACATTAAGATAAATGAGAGGACTAAAGATATAATCTATGTTATTAAAATAAATGTAATTAATAGTGTTAGCAAACAGTATGTTTGTGTATTCGCAACTTCTTTAACTTAGTTCGTAGTTAGTAACAAACTGTCACTTCTTCAAAGCAGTCAACAAACATCTTAAAGGAATATCAGTTAAGTGGCAGTTCGCAATCCAGAAAACAACCACGGCTAATTTCCTTCAATGGATAGCAGAGCTCAATTATTGAGTAAATAAGCTCATTTGCCGGAGGCACTCAGCCATGGAATAGGGTTTAGAAAGGTATCACTAGCTGCATTTTGCGCTTCATTCAATGCCATGTGCTAGAAGATTGAGAGATTGAGATTCCATACAGCAATCTGTGATAAATTAAAGGGTATACACGAGAACGAAGTTTATTCTTCATTGTAATTATTTTAGAATGCAGTTAACTGTAATATGGTATAAGACATTAGATTTAAATTATTTAAGTATTAAAAAGTAATCTAAAGTCATTGCTCACTTTCAGGTATAATTCTTTTAAAATTGTATTTAAATCGAAATTTAGAATATATTATATTCTTTTTTTTAATTTAATTTAATTCAAAATTAATTGACTTTTAAGGAAAGATATTTTTCAGTAAATACAACAAATATTCATATTCAGTCTTACAGTCGGACATAATATGAAGGAAATATGAAAATATAACTATTTTGAAGTATATTTTTTTTAAGTTGGGGCGCTGTTTTTTTTGTTAATAATAAACAAACCATTGTCTAAAAAATAAAAATAAAATATTGTAATTTTAAATTTAACTGTAATTCGTCAACTGCAAGTTTTTCAAATGGTTGTTATTTTAAATGAAAAATGAATTATTGAGCTGCTATAACTAATATAAGAGATTTCAACGATGAGATCAATAGTTAATTTAAAGAGAAAGAAAAAAGAAAAATAAATTCCAAAATAAAAATAAATATATTTATAAAACTATGCATTTTTTTAGTGTAGCATACGATATTTGCAGTAAGTTTTATAAATGACTATTTTATTTTTAATTAATTTGTGGTTCTGCATTGAATATTAAGGTCATTGGAAAATTAGCTACTTCAGTTAAGAGTGTTTGGTAGATCCAAAATGTAACTCTATATAACTATACTATGTATCAGAATTTTAAACTTTAAAAAAACTGAATTCTTTACTGATATGAAATTATACTTACCTCATATACTAAATAATTATTCCTTTTTTGACGCAAACGATCTTATTAAAATAAGTAAATTGCAAAAGTTCTAGTTAAGAGTTTCGTTTTAAAAAAATGAAAACAAGTTTACGTTTCAAAAATCAGTTACATTTTCTTTCTTTCGTACATAGGAAAGCGACATGGAACTTTTTAACTGATACTAAGAACATGTATTTACAATAAGAAAAAAAAACATATTCAATGACTAATTTTAATTGTTAAAAGAAACATTACAGCTAAATGGTAGGTACAAATTAAGTTGCTTGTAAATAAAAACTTTTTTCCCTACACTATGCATAATAGAACAGAGAAAATATAAAATGAATTAACATCTATATAATTTTCTATATTGCTTAATTAACATAAAATATGGAATTAACTAACTTGTGTAACCAGAACTTAGTTTCAAATTCTATTCAATTTTTTATGAAGTTAAAACCCCTCTATTTTTCACAAAATAGAGATGTTTCAGATATTTTTTAATTGAGTTCAAAATATATCTGTTCATGTGAGTATTATGAAATGGGAAAAGAATTCAAAATTGATTTTATTTTTGTTCTCAAATATGGGTCAAACATTATTTGACTGTTCTAATAAATAGATGCGGTGACTGTCTTCAGTGCTATTTTAGTTATTACAGTGTTATTTTACATATTAAACCGGTTGGGGGGGGTGTCAAGCAGTAATTACTCAAACGATCATTGATTACTCAGAAAATAATCAGGCTTGACGATTATAATGCTGGAAAGAATGAATGAAGCAATCGTCCTTAATTTATTGACGGCTTAAACATAGAAAACTAATTAATGTTTAAAGTGACTGTGCGCAAGTAACTTGGATATCTTAAAAACTTTAATACGTGAAACTAGTACACGGTAAAAAACGGATGATCTTATTTCATGAAACTTTCCTTGTTTTTAACGAAACCATTTCCAAGTATATGCTGCTTGCAAAAAGTTTGTCAAAACAAAATAATAATCGTCACTTCTTCAAGGAAACAAATTAGTCAAAATTAAAAAGATATTTCGTCATTCCATTCTTCGAAGGAAAAAAAACACTCTGGACCATATTTAACTTTTTTAATAACCACTTCATCGTCGACAAAAGAAGGACACAAAGAATAGCTACGTAAGTCGAACTCGGCATCTTCTTGGCTCAAAACCAAATCTTTGACCACCATACATGCCGGTCGGCTTGTTTGGTCACTTTATTTTCGATGGTCCAGTCTTCATTCCAGTTAACAATCTCCCACAATGCACTGCGATGATGTTACGAGGTGAGGAAGCATTTTCGTCATATATAGGAGAGTTCGCATTTTGTCACAAATTACGTGATTTTAGGACAAAATGATTCTCAAAATTAACAAAATACAGCTCAAAAATTACGGAATCATGAAAAGTGCGAGCTTTATTTCTGAGAATGTAGTGATAGGTGATAAGTTTCACATATCATTTCCATTTGAGTCTCATATAATGAATACTGAAGGGATATTCTTGAGAAGTTTCATAACTTAGTTATATTATAATTGTTGTTTTGGGCAAAATGGTATTATTATGCTCCCCACTCACTAATTGTAGCAGAATGTAAAAACGAATAGTATGCCATAATGATTCAAGAAGCCAGGAAGATCAATCAGATTCAATGCGCTTTAAAAGAAAGAGCGTTGGAAACCGTTATAAAATACTCAGATTAATGAAAAATCTCAATATCTGCAAGCAGAAGACTGGTTTTTGGGAATTTCCTCGACAAAAAAATTTAAAAGCGATTCATAGTTTTGTCTACTTTGCCAGAAAAAGTGCCTTGAACCAAAGTAGTTTAGCAAAACGTTTTAAATGCCTTGTGATTTTTAATACAAACCTATACATTTTCTCTTTCTTTACTTATTATTTCTGCCCATGATTATGCTTATTAAAATCTTATAACAATATTATTAACAATTTAACTAGTGCATAAAGTTAATATATTTTGAAAAATAATAGAAAATATTTTTTTAGCAATTCCCAACGTTTTTTTTATTATTCTCAATTATAATTAGTTCCAATTTACCAAAAATAACTTTAGAAATAGTTTTATTTTGAAAATATCTTGTAAGCAGAGGTACTTTAGTTGTCTAGGTAACTTTACCCGCCAGGTTTTAAATTTTTATAGAAAGAATAACCAATGAAAATTGTTCGAACCCTATAAATGAACACTATAATTAGTAAGCTAAACCTAATTTTCATCTCTCTAGCTTAAATAAAAATTTAGAGTTTTAAAACAAATAAAGTAAACCTGGTTTCCGGAATTATCGCGTTTTTTATGCTTTTATATTCTACTTGATATTAATTTTTATGTATAAAAACTAAACAATAGAAGGTACATTTTCTTTTAACATTTGCCTCACGTTATATCAAATTTGACTCACACTTTAAAACTGAAAATTACTCTTTAAGATAAAATGAATATTAGTTTTTTAATTGCATAATTAAGCAACACGATTGGAGTGAATGAATATTTAAAAAAATATCTAATTTGCTCAAACAGCAAATAATTACATTTGGAAACTATTCAACACAGTAATAGTTAAACAGTTTTTAAACTTAAGTTCAAAATTATTTGATATTTACATTAGTATTGTTACACATAATACATTTTTCGTTAAAAGTAGCTTCTTGTTAGAATGTGTTCAAAGGTTACTCACTACCTAAAGAAATTCATTGTGTATTGTCAATAATGGTGTAAGGCCCTTCCATGCTCAAGAAGAAAATCGATATTTAATTAAAATTGCGAACACTAAGTAAACTGTTTATCGCTGAAGAAATAAAATTAGGCAGTCACCTGTTGCTGGGCTTTTCGTAAGTTCTGGAGTATTTTCTTCAGAATCTTTATTGGAATTTTTTACTGAACCCAAACTCTGATGCCTTGGGAAAACTTCAACCTCTGAAATCATAAAAAATAGCATTTTTTAGTATTGAAACTTTATTTAATTTACTTTTTGGATTTAAATATTCTAACATTTTAAAATTCCTTTGATATTTGTAATTTTATAATGTTAAAATTAGGTATATATGCATGAATAAAGAAAAATAAAATATTTGTTATTTTTTTAAGTAAATAATTTAGGAAGTTGAAATATTTCTAGCATCAAAGTTTGAGTTGGTTTTAAAATGAAAGAACTGATGAAAAAAATATCAAGTAACACATATCAGCAGATTTATATTTTTAAACTAATGAAAACTGCTGATTGATCAAGACAAAATTTTGATAAAATACATATGGTAAATTTAATATTAGGCAGTATTTAATTATAGTTAGTAATATCGAGCGTTGATTGCGTCAGTTTGTTAAACTGCGATTTTAAATACATGAATCATATTGAAATCAAAATTTCATACTTCAATCCAGTTCAAAATTTCATAAATGAAGCAATATTTTTGCATAGCAAATTTTATCATCTTCTCAGCAAATTCTTTATTTTTATTTTAATACGCAGTTTAACTTCATACTGAATATTAAAACCATAGATAAAACATAAAAATATTTTTAAAAAAATTAAGTTGTATATGCTGCCATTTTTTTTATTCTAAACTTTTTTAACTGTTATGAACTCAAACTGTCACGACAAAGATGGAATATTTTTTTCAACAAATAAAAAACAAAAAAAATTAATAGCTTTTAATGTTAACTCAATTTAGTTATTTTCTAATTATTATTAAGGAGTTAATTTATGAGTAATGATTTATTGAGTAATTATTCAGCAATGATTATGAATGACTTAATGATTGATGACCAATTTAGTGAGTATTGTTTCATTGAGGTTCTAATTAGCTTGATTGTTTCAATTATTGGTACCAGTATTACCAAAATTTCACTTTATTTTCCATCCCTAATTTTTATAATTCTAAACTTTTTATTAGTGCCTAATTTTTTACTAAAGCAATCATTGTTTTGCATATTTTCCGTAAATCATACTGCATTTCCATTCTTCTTTTTAATTTTTTTATAACAAAAGAAGCGTTTTTGATGCCTCGATAACCTCATTTTTACATTCCTAGTTCATATTTACTTTTTTTATTAGAAGCCAGGCCTCCTGCTTGCTATTACTTGACAAAAATTAATACTATTGCTTAAGTAGCTCACTGTAAAAATTCCGTATCAAATAACGGTATAAAGTACTGGCATTTTGGGTGCATCATTCTGAAATTTCTTTTTACTGTAAACTCTATTTTCACTGTAAAATATTTTAAAAGTATTATTTATTTGATTAGAGTGATTCAGCGATTTTGTGTTAATTAATACCGTAAAAATTATGGTAAATCAGATTTTTTATTCTATTACAAGTTCCGGTAAAATTGGATTTTACGGTAAAAATATCCAGCACCCTGAGTGCTGGTATTCTATACTGTAATTCTATTTAGGAATTCATACGGGTGTTGCTTTCACGTCGCTTCTCTCAGTCATTTCATTTGTCTGAAATTTGGAAAGACATATGCATGTTTCAAAATTTGAAAACAAAAATCAGAATTAAAAGAATTTGTATTTTTGAAAACAAATTATTTTAATTGTTTATTCAATAATTCATGATTTTAAATTTTCCCTAATGTCAAATAATGAAGTAATAAATTTAAGCTTAAAATGAAACAGAACTTTTTAAACTAGATAAATGAAAAAACGTAAACATTGAATTCAAAAAGAGCAAAAAAATACTTTTAGTCGTAAAAGTACGCTGCAAAAAATCATAATTTTACTGTCATTATTTTTTGCCTTCATATCGACAAATTCGGAAAAAAACGCACCATAAACAATTTGATAATTTTGCAACTGTTTCGAATTTATTTTACAACTCAGAGATTGAAGTACCTGAACTTTTTAGCTGATTCCCAAAATCCGTAAAAACTAATCGACATAATATTCATTTTTAAAGGTACGAATATGTGGCTGAAATAGAACATAATTCTTAAGGTAATAGCTTTCGATTATTTAAAATAAGCGGATAAAAAAAAATCAACTTTGACTTAGAGTAACACAAATGCTAATGACTTACATCAATAATATTTTAATGTTCGAATTTTGAAAACATTTTTATTAAAATGAACATTATTCTTTATTTTTTTAGATAACTTTTTAGTCATGAGAGAGAGAAATTTCTGAAGTAAAGGTGGCAACATTATTTAAATATAGGGTAATATTCAAAACTCTGTTGAGGAATCAACATTATTGCTAATTGCAATAAAGTATTTTGTGGGATCTGTTTATGATTCTAATCAGAATTTTATGCTTAAAAATCATGCTTATAATAGTTTTTACATCCATCTAAATTGAATGAAGCTGTTACTGTAATATAAATAATATTGAAGCTTTCTAATTGATAACATCTTTTCTATGACGTTTGGATATTGAAACAGTATATTATGCGTCCTGTTTTCAGTAATTTATCCAATAAATATTTAAATCCAATAAACGTGACCTTAAGCGGTAATACAATAAAACTTTGTCTTTTGATTAAAAATTTTAAAACAATGTTATTATTCTTTTATATTAAAAGAATTATAAGTGATGCAGTTCACCGCCGTTCTTTCGGTTAGTTAACTTTACGTTACATTTATCTTTGCAAACCACGATATTCTTAAGAAATAAAACCAGTTTTAACCATAAAATCCAGCTTTACAGTAAAATATTATACTGTAATTTTTCAGTAATATTTATTTAATTAGAGTGAATCAGTGATTTTACGGTAACTATTATTGTAAACTGCAGTATATAAGATTTCTTGGTCCTTAACATATTTCGCTAAAAGCAGATTTTATGGTAAAATGTATTAAGTGCCGGTACTTTTACTGTAATTTGATTCGAAATTTTTTACAGTATTGAAAAGCTGAAATAAAAGACTTTAACATTCGATAATTAGTTTTCAAATTAATTGTTAAACTTGTAGTCAAAAATACCATGTAGGCCCCTTTGCAGGCTGCGAAAATGAAATAGCAAGGTGGAAATTTAATATGCTGAGAAGGCAATCTTCATTTCTGAACTGAACTTGTATTTTTTTTTCTTTAGAAATTTGAAGATGTACTGTATAGAAACGCAGTATATACAGTATAGAAACGTTGAAATAAAAGACTTTAACATTCAATAATTAGTTTTCAAATAAATTGTTAAACTTGTAGTCAAAAATACCACGTAGGCCTCTTTGCCGGCTGTAAAAGTGAAATAACACGGTGGAAATTTAATATGCTGAAAAGGCAATTTTCCTTTCTGAACTTAACTTGTATTTTTTTTTCGTTAGAAATTCGAAACTGCTGGATATTCACGAGATTTAATTGCCCATTGTAATCCATTGATATAAATTTATTTTTTCGTCCAATGACCGGAACAGTTTTTGCCTAGTCACTAACATAATCAAGCGGCAATGTATTTTAGAGTGATTATATTAAAAAAAGGATTTTATTAAAAGAAGATATTTTTTAGATTATATTAAAAGAAAATTATTATTATGGATCGTTTCCCTTTTTCTAATAATTTACATATTTACAACTACAGCAGAAAACTCAGTTAATAGCTTTTTTTGAATCTTAATAATAGAAAATAACCTCTGTTGATCGAATCGGAGCTAAAAGTCATTCCGAACCAAAAAATAATTTACTTACATCTTGGCATAACTGTGCATACAACTTAAAAATATAATTAGTTAAGTTGTTTGCAAAACTATGAAGTTTGTGAGAAATTTGTACGAAATAATGCAATTTATTTATTTACTTAGCTGATTTGTTTTATTTTTTTCGCAGAGCAGCTACTTCCTCATAAGTTTGGCTTCAGTAAGTTTAATTTCCGTTGGAAGGTAGTTTAGCCCTTTGATGCACTTAAAATGCATTTAAATTTCAGGAAACTCAAACAATTACTTTAAAAAATAAACGGAAATAATTTTGCCAAAATAAATGAGTTTTCTAAAATCATACAATAAAATAGCACATTCTTTTAATCATTTTTTGCTAAGACAATAATGGCTTTAAGCGAACTTTCACTGCTCCCATAAAGCGGAAATAAAGAAGAAAATTGCACGGGGAACTTAACACAAAAGTCTTTTCGTTTGTGGATAAGTATTGATAGAAATCTTTATTGGCATACACAATTAAACGACAAAAAAGACATTCAAAAATGTCCATCAGATTCAAAAAGTTGATTTCACTATTTAGGAGTCATAATTTTAAGAAATAATAAATTAAAAGAAAAGATGAGATCTTAATAAAGTATACACGAAAATTATTGAAGCGTATACGACATAATCAACTGCCACTCTAATAACAAAAAATATCAAGTGAAACTAATTTTTCAAACATTGCATTCAGGAAGAATTCTTAAAAATTATAAACACTGCCTCTGCTGTATTGGATATTTAACTTTATATTACAATTTCGTCGCTAAAAAAAGCACCTTTTTAAATTTTAGAAATTACAATTTAGAGAATTTGTAGTAAGTACGATGGAATACAAAATTATATACATTGATACGTAAGTACGATGCGATACGAGAAGTTACATACGATACGATACGTTAAGATACGATATGATAAGTACATACGAAATAACCAACTACCACCCGAATTAAAAAAAAAAGTGTGGAAACTATAAAACTTAGGTACTTTGAAGGATGTACAAGGAGTATGATAGAATAAAAAAAGTATATACGACATCAAGTAAGTACGATAACATATGATACTATACGTTTATACAACGTAATCAATTACCTAATTAAAAAGAAGGAACGATAAATTCACGCATTCTGTATTAAGTTTATTTTTTTTGCAGTTGATAATGACTCATATATAAGTAATGGTTGATTTTGTCACGATTAACATGCTTGCAAAATTGTTCTGAAATAAATTTATAAGATGATTATTACAGAAATAAAATGATTTTTTATTGACTTTTAAAAAGAAAAATCAATGATGATTGAGAAGCAACCACAGGAAGCAAAACCACAGAAAGCAAAAAAATTATATATAACATACGTTATACATTAAGTTTAAAATATAGCATTCTTTTAGGGGAAATGTTTCTTAAATTTAATATTTTTGTATTATATTTAATATTTCTTATGAAAATATTGCTTCTATCTATTAGCCGAAATTTCTCTGAAAAAGAGCAGCAATTTTGCAAAACTGGCTAAATTCTTGTCTAGTTTTGCAAAATGAAAAACTGAATATTTACAGTAAAAAAGCAATTTTGTAATTTTAATTTCAATTGCCACGTTAACTGTTATTTACTGTTAAAAAATTATAAGAGATTAAATGTCATGAATGAAAATGATTATTATATATTTAATTATATGATTTAGATTCATTTTTCAATTAATCTCTAATAATCTTAAGTGTACAAATGACTCTGCAGAGCTGAGTTAGATTGTTGGAATATTGTGGGTAAGACAATATTATGGCTTACATTATAAAAAAGGCAAATCTTATAAACATATCACTTTATAGATAGTTAATTTTTATACTAGATTAATTATTTCAGTATTTCAGCAATTTACACTTCTTACAGACATTATTTATTAAGTTTAACTATTCATTGTACAAAACAATGGAGAGATAACTATTGCTTTATCAAGTTTTAGTTTATTATTCTTCAAATTGTTGAACGAAATTTAATTATTTTTGTAACAGTTGTAAAACGTGTCATTGCAAAATCTACACTGTTACTGCCTTTCAGTTCTCATTTAATATTGATTTGTTGATTTATTTGAAGAAATAAAAATACGACTTAATTATACTTAACTATATAAAATAATGTCGACTTAATTATATAAAATTTGACTTAATTATATAAAATAATATTTTTCTTAAAATAAATGTTAAAAACACTTCTAATATATTATATAGTAATGTGAACAGTATTTTAACATAATCCAATTATAGTTCAATTGTAATGAAAATTTACAATTTGAAAGGCTTTAATTTATAAGGCTTCAGCATTAGTGAACATAAAAATTGTTAAGTTCTTTATTTTAGATTATTATTATTTAGATTACTATTTTAGATTATTTTAGATTATTAGACTTTATTTTTAGATTTAATTAGTTATATTTTGAATTTTTATAAATAATAACAATATATTAAATACTTAATTTCATGGCTTATCAGCATGTGTCACGTATTTAGTGTAAATAAAAAAAACTTAAAAAAGATTATTAAAAAAGTACACATAAAATAATTAAAAATGAAGATATGAAAATAAAAATGGTATAACTCAAAATGAAGATGAACAATGGACGTTTACTGAAAAAATACATGATTAAAAGTAATAACATTTTTGCTCTAATCAATTTGAACCAGTATCATGTGCCTTTATTTTTTCTACATAATAGACGAATTCAAAGTTGTTTCGTAAAAAAAAATGTACTTTTAATAATTACAGAAAAGAAAGAATTGTTTCAGTTGGAGATTTTATTTAACAAAATAGGACAAAAAATTTTATTGAAACTTTAAAAAAGCCGCATTAGAGTAGACTATTTCTTAGAATATTATCTCAAATTAGAATATTATCCCCTATTTAATACCTATTTAAAAATATACAAGATTAAATAAATAATCCCAAAAAACTGAAGAGGTAAGATATCACTAATTAAAAACTTCATTCGCTTCAAAAATATAAAAATAGCAATTAATAGGTGACATGTTTCCAGCTCTTCAAAACTAGGCTCCCATTTTCAAGACTAGACAGAAGTGAATGAGAAGAAACAAAAGTGATTTGAAATAAAAAGCATGAAGTTGATAACGAAAGATGGCAAAATAATGTGAGAAACAAGACTAGAAAAACAGTGACCAAAAGAGAAAAAAGAATAAATATAGAACAAGAAAAATCACAGTGGACGAAAGAGGCAAATCAGGGTAAAATGCATTTCCACGCGCTATGGAGAAGAGTTGAAGAACTAATGTCATTAGCAAAGGAATCAACAGTCATATGTATAAAACAGGATTCCAGGAATAGGTTGATGTGACTGGGGTGGAAATAATTTTGACGTTGTCGAAATTGAATTTATGCCCAAGATTCCAAAAATGAGCAGCAATTAGTGATATCTTGAATTCTTGATAACAGACATATTGCTTTGTTTCTCACCTTTATTTTTCTATTGGCAGCTTTACTCTTTTTTATTTAAAAGTACTTTTGTTTCTCATTCACATCTGACAAGTCTTGAAAATGGTTGATATTTTCTTTGAAGCTCTTAAAACATGTCAATTGTTTGTTGTTATTTATATAATTTCGAAACAAGTGAATTTTTTAATCAGGTAATATACTATATTTACTAGTACTTTTTAAAATGAGGATTATTAACTATTTCACAAATTTATTAAACATTTCCACATTTATTCATGATTTCCTTTCTATAGCTGATTTTCAAAACAATTAGTTTTGTTAAAAAATGCAGCGTTAATATTTCGTCAAAGCAATTAATAGACTCCTTTTGAGAATTTATTTAAAATAATATGAAATTCAACTCAAATTGAAATTTAAATAAAGCCAGATTAAAGCATACTAATTTCCATAAGTTTTAATGAAATACATAAAAGATAAAATGATATAACGCAACATTAAAATCAATACGTCACCAGCTAACTAAAATTATTACTAAAGACTCATTACAAAGAATGCTTCTAAATTGTTTTACAAATTAGTTCTTTAGAAATTTTGCAGTGGGTACTTAATCTTTAATGTTTATTTGAGTGTGAAACGAAAAGTTGAGCCCAAATTGTAACCCTTCCCTTTATGCTCCTATGAATTGTAAAGGTGCTATTAGCTCAGGTGTAATAAAACTTGCATCTGATTAAATACGAGGATTATAGATTTGAAGAATGGCAACGATTTAAGGTTTAAAAGGCGCTACAGTAACACATTTATCAAATGGATGTTCAAGAAGATTCTGGCGAAATATTTTCTTGATTCTTAAATTATTTATCGATACTAAATACTCTCTTTCGTAATGCTTTTGCAAGTTTTAATCAAACAAAATATAATAGTTTTTCAGACCCAACTACTAATAGTTTGAAAGAAAATTTTCAATATTAATATAATTAAATATATTTATATTAATAAAAATTCATTACTATAATTAACATTCATATTATAATTAAATATCCATATATTTAAAATTCATATAATCATTAAATTTATAATATTCATATAGAAACAATTCAAAGTATGAATTTTACTGTATTTGAATTTTTTATAAATTAATATTTTTACTACTCATTTTTTTTAAATGTTTAAACTTAGGATAACAAGCAAATATTTTACAGTCGGTAAAGTGATTTTAGCCTCTAAATTATCACATTTTAACAATTTTTTATGTGAATATAACTAAAATACAAAGGATTCCCTAAATAAAAAAACTATTGTTTAAAATTAAATTAATTGCCGATTTAAATACCAATTATTGTTTAAACGAGCATAAGTAAAACTTGCCTTCAGTGCTCTGCCTTCTTATAGCTGCTGTATCTTTAGTTGGCTCACTGGTTGGAGGCGGTATTTCTGGAATTAAAGCAATGATGATTATTTCTATTTTTAAATTATATAAATTTTTGTTTTACCACTTTAATACTTTTTTTGTTTGAAATAAACAGAACAATATTTTCAAAATATATTTGATTCTATTAGCAGTACTCCAAGCAAAACTCCTTGTGAAGCTATTAAAAATGTAATTGTTTATATCCTAAGATATGACATAATTTTGCCTCCCTCAAAACATGTTAAACACTACTAGCGCTAGGGTTAGCATGTTTATACCAGATGTTTAGAAATAATTTATATTTTAATGTTACAAAATTCTTATTTAAAGTAATTTTATGTGAGTATAATAATATTTTCTAGGTTTTTAACACGATTTGTTTTTTCTTCCTATGATAAAAAGTAATCAAATTTTTTAAAAAATATTATAACTAATTTTTTTATTACGTTATTTTTCCTTAAAATTTTTAATAAATCTTGAACAAAAAAAAAAGAAAAAAAACTATTTTGGAAGGTTTTTTTCTCATTTTTTTTTCAGTTTTTACCCTGACTACACAGAACATGGATTAAGATAAAAAATAAAAAGCTATATAGTTTTTCTTTAAAAAAAATGGTATACATTTACTTCATATGTCGCTTACCTTTTAAGTAAAGGAGTTTTTTTTTTACATGGGGAATTTTCTTATGTAGAAAGTACCAAATAAAAATAAAAATATAAAAAAATATAAATAATAAGCATGTTCAAAAAAATAATGCTCGTTGTATATTTTATTCATTTAAAGTACTTTTTTTAAAATCTTGGTAACTTACACTGATAGAATTTTCATTCTAAAACCATAGTAAAACAACCGGCCGCAGCCGGTCTATCCAGTTAGCCGTAAAAGTTTGCATACATTTTTTACCTTTACGGTTTTGAAACTGTTTACAACTAGTGTGGTTAAAAACCATGAATATAAAACTAAACGGTTTTTTTACCATTTGCGACTAACATGGTTTCAAAACACTAAAAAAGAAATTTAACTTTATATCGAAGATAGTTTAGCAACTATATGGTGATGTCAGCTAAGGGTGAATGAGAGTATCGTATTCTAATAACTCAGGGTCATAAATTGGGGAGTATAGGACACTAGAAACTCTCTATGTGTCGATGGGAGTAGAGGAAATGTTGTGGTGTCAACGTTGGGATTTGAACCTCCCCCCCTTCTATCGGATTTGATATTGATAGATTAGCCCACTCGGCTATATACTCATATGTAAGGAACTAAGTGNAGTTAGCCTAATTAGAAAATATTCTAATGATTATAATATTAATATGATAATGCTGAAGTTTAAAGGCTGAAAGAAAGAACTCGGTACGTGTGAAACACTGCAAAAGATATGATGCAATAATATGATGGCGCGTTTTTTTCAATCTGCGGCGTAAAAATATATCGGAAGTAGTAACCCGGAAGTCTTGAAAGAGCAATTTTACCCCTAGCACCACCACCCTTAGCTTTACACGATCACCCATCCATAGGACACTAGAAACTCTCTATGTCTCGATGGGAGTAGAGGAAATGTTGTGGTGTCAACGTTGGGATTTGAACCTCCCCCCCTTCTATCGGATTTGATATTGATAGATTAGCCCACTCGGCTATATACTCATATGTAAGGAACTAAGTGGCTTCATTAAGTGGGCCTAATGGGTGCGATAAGATACTGGTTGTTTAACTGTATTGGATGACACCAGGTAATAAACGGCTTTTCTTACAATTAACAGTTTAATACAATCTATTTATGGGTACCTAACTGTTCAGTTAGAATATGGTAAAATAGCAAGTAAATAAAATGTTATTTAATCATTTTTTCTGAAAAATTTCTAATCTTGTAGATAGAAAAGTAAAACTGTAATTGTTCGTCATGTGATTTAACCCTATAATTTATCATTATCCATTTTTTTGTGAATACCAAAAGATAAAAATACAAATATAAAAATATTTATTAATAAAACAGAACGTTAAAGGAAAAATTGCTTATAGTATGGTTCATTTGTTTAAAATAAATTTAATTTTTTCCCAAAATCTTGGTGAAGGTCAAATTTAATTTATATTTTCTGTAAGAAATTGAAGTAATGCTTTAATACATGTGCCTTATAATATTTTATTATTTAAAACATCCACAACGAGTGTAAAAAGGAATAGCAATTGAAAAATATTTAAAATAAATCTCTAAACTTCTTAAAAAAAGTTAGTAAATGGACAATTGTCTGATTTTCTTAAGAAAATAAAGTTTATTTGTAAATGTTATTTGATTTAGCTAAAATCAATTATCAAATTCATTAATGCAAAACATGTAGACTTATTGAATATGCAAAACATGTTGACTATTGAAAAATAAAAATTACTGTTCAAGAAATGCTTTTTACCATATAGTCTAATAGAACCTTCCGTAGATCCCAATGAATTCTCAGCAAAACATTTATAGGTTCCAAAATCATGCGGTTGCAAATTTCGTATTGCCAATTTCATGTGTATTTTGTAATTCTTTTCCTTGATCGACGTTTCATATTTGGCATCATTTATAATCATGTCGCCACCGTCTTTAGCCCAATAATTTATCGACGCTGGATATGCTTCTGTATGGCAGTCAAGCGTAACGTCTTTTTCCAGTGGTGCCCCTACTAATTGGTTAGGAATCCACATCACGGGTGGAACTAAGAAAAAGAAAGATAATTAGAAATATATGTAACTGAACTATTCGACTGGAAGTAATTATTACCTCCAGAAATGCTAAAATAATGAACACAATCTTTTATTACATAAAAATAATGAAAAAAGATATTTTATAAGAGAATGAGAGAAAAAAAAATAGTCCCCATGAAAGGTAATTTACCCTATCTGGGCGAAGCAGACCGTAATAATGATAATTACAAGAAAACATAAAGACGCAGTGCTCTCTAAGAAAAAGTCAGAAAAAAAATCTTATCAATAAAGATGATAGGCATTGAATTTCTTTAATTACAGATTATTTTTTTTAAAAAAATCATCTATGCTCTTGAGTTTTCAACTACGACATATTAGTTAATGATAAGCTTTGTATTTCAGTTATGCAGACAAAAATAACCACATAGCGATGTCGGGTACACTCGTTCTCCTTAATTACTGCGCTAAGACAACGTATTATTTTAAAATATGTTTCATTAAAATACTTAGAAATGTGCAATTATGGACGCAAAATAAGTTATTTATTTAAATAATGCTTTTCAAAATAGCAATATCAGAAAAAAAAATTTTATCAACAGAGAAAAAAAATAATGGTCGAAGCTAAAAGAACCTAGTTATCTGTACCGTGTTTCTGCCTTTGGTAGTCATTTTGATAAAATTAAAATTTATATATGGTTTTAAAATTACATACGTAATAAAATTGTGTAGTTTTATCATGATACATTCCAGCGT